GACGCCCGGAATGCCGTCAAGAACCTGGAGTGAATCCGGACTGCCGCTGGCCTTCCGCAAGAGGTCTCTATATACTGAAGGGTCCTTGCTTTATCTGCCATATCTGCTCAGGATACTAGGCTCCTTGGGTTTTAGGACGACACTGCCCACGATAGAGTTCGCCGGCCACACTGCGATCTTCCTCGGAAGCGCGGAACTCCTTGGTCAGGGATTAGACCAGGAACATTCCATTCGGCAATGAAGATCCTGGACTGGCAATGGATTTCCAACGTTATACTGCAACCGGTGGAGCCTCGCTGTGGAGCGTACGATCGGGTCGAAACGGAAGACGCCGAAGGCTGACCCTGCGGCATATCCACTTCAGGCGTTTTATCCATGATTCTTCCACCGAGTCCCACTGGAATAAGGCAAATCAATGTCATTGAAATTTTCGCATACCTTCCGATACTTCAAGCGTGATTTGACCCACTACCCGGCGTAGCACTATGACCCGGCTATCCCCTTGTCGAGGAAGAAGTACCAGCTGACTTGCCTTGGACTGGGAAATCCGAGATCTTCGCAACACGAACTCTAGGGCACCAGCACGGGATTAAGGGTGGTGATGTGGCCTACTAGAGGACCCGCTGCCTGGCAAGCATCGGACGATCGTCCGTAGGACCCAAACAGTATCCAGATATTGTCTTGCGGCGGAAGTCATTGCTCTGCAATGTGGTCTGCAGAGCGCCACACGGATACCTGGGCATTCCCCAGTAGTATGTGCTGCAATTATTATTCTGGTACGTCGCCCCATAAACACCGGTATCGCTGAAGAGAGCGATCTAATTGCCAGTCCTGACAACGGTGACCCTGGTAGCCTCGGTGTTTCTGGCCATCATTGTACCTTCTTGTCCATCGGAAACCGCGCTTTTTATAACGTCCTGGTGACATCCTCGTGCTGGGGACACCTTATGGACGCCGTGCCTGCGGAATTGCGCATATCCTGCGTCATCCACAGCTCACCCCGAGGTACAAGCTGGACCAGATATGGTGGCGATGTTATTCCGTATGTCTGATATTTTCTTGCGTCACTACTCATTTACCGCAAACGCAGCACGAATTTCATATAACGGTCACAATCTCCAGATCCCTTCTGGCAATATATATCCGATGTACAGGAGTCCAATCCTCACCGCGATCCTCGAGTATGCCAAATATTGCGTTCTTCCTGGATGTCGGACGTTTTCGACGTGATCAACCGCTGGCAGAACGTCACTAAAGACAGTGCCACGGCTGTTGCTCGGTCGCCCATTTCCCTCGCCCATGGGCGCGATTTAGCCTCCTTAGATCTCTTGCCCACTTGGACGCTCCCCCCGGCTTGGCTATGCCAGCGGGGTATACCTTGACTAGCGGGATGCCAAAGTCTTCCTTTCGACGGCCGCGCTAAACTCATAGAGCTGCGCTCGTCAAGATTGAGCATCACCATGTCAGTATTCTAATGATCGCAGTACGTGCAAATTCATCGCAAGTTAATCCCCTTCCAGCTTGACACCCGACTGCTCAGAATCGATACACGCTAATTTGCATACATGGTAACACTGCGTTGATAATGGATCATGCTTACGTATCGTGATCTGTTGTCAGGGACGGAGCACTGCAAGTATTGGTCTTGAACGGCTTCTGGTCGTCCACAGTCAAGTTCTTGACCGCGCTGTCGACCTCGGACTCGGCCACTCTAATGCCGCCACACAGCCGGGCTGCCCGTCGATCTTCTGTCGTACAGACTCAACCTTCGGGAAGATCCCCCGGCATCGATCTTCTTGCGGTCTGGTCCCCTAAGCTTAAGTATTGAAACTCTCATGCGTATCTTCTCGGCTTCGTCCGGAAGCTTTAGTAGTAGAGTTTGTGTAAGGTTGTGGACATAGTCCAAGTTCGAATGCTTCCCTGACCGTTATGCGTAAGCCCCTCCTCATTGATGTTGAGGTAGCTACTGTCATGCAGTAATGCGAACATGAGGCCAATGCGTGAGCCTTGCTATCCTTGTTGCCCGCCCGCCACCTCGCGCTATAGTATATATTCCCCCATCAAACGGATATAGTTCTCGGGCACCGTGGCACGGTATGCTAAAATTACTGTATCTCTTTCCCTAACGTACACAAGGGGGTACTCGACTCCTCTGAATCCGAGGCTAGTCCATACCAGCACGCAGTGTCTAAATGGCCACCAAAACAAAATAGAGCGACTGATATTTTGCGGTATCTGTATGGGATCGGTCAGGATAGAATGACGAAAGACCGGCACTTCAATCAAGCAGCATCGAATGAAGGAAAGAATAGTCGCGTGCGAGCATGCACCCGTCGTGCACGGCAATTAGCTGTCCGTCCTAGGAGGGGATTCGTTGGCGGGGGAATTATCCAGGACGTTGGGGTCTCGCCGACTGGAGCTGGGTCGCGACGTACTACGGAGCGGAAGGTTGTCAGCGTTCTGGCTCAGATTCCGTGGCAGGGGAGCAATCATAAACGGGAACCGAAGAACTGTCCAAGGTACAAGAGGGAAAGAATACAAATGACGGAGCAAAGGGGAGAAGTCTGCTACAGTGTCAAGATGAAATTCAAACACCATGCACGGTTACGATCATTCGATAGCCTCGGAATTAGTGAGCCCGCCTCATCACAAATAGACTTGCAAGAAGTTGGAAGATGAATATTGAAGCCGGCCTTCCATGGCCGCTCTTAGAAGAGGCCGTTTAAAACCATTTGGAAAGCAAGGATGAACCCCAGGTGTTGGGCCCGAACAGACGATATACCCGTTTGCTTTTGAAGGTGAATTGCAAAACAACGGTTGCCGCAATTCGACGCCAGGACAGCGAAGAAACGAAAAGAAAGGTCGAAGGCAAGCGTTAACGCGGGAAGGCGAAACAGACACCAGGAAAAGAAGGAGGCAGAGTAATGTGGGAGACTCACCTGCCGTCTTGACCACGTTTACTAGGTTTCGGCCAGCCCCACACCTCGCGGATCCAGCGTGCCATGTTGACCTCCTGCTGCATAATCCGCACGAGCCATGGATGCCGCAGCATGTCCTCTGGTGTCGGACGCGCGGTGGCCGACACAGTCAGCCTGCGTTAGACCAGTCAATCAGCCAATCGGTCGCGCATTGTCAGCATGGATTACGCACGTCAGTCGGATGAAATCCTTCATCTCGAGACTCCACTGTGCATCAGCATCATCATCTAGTCGGGGAGGCTATGGTGATATTAGCAAGAGGGGGCTCCAAACGGACGCTTACGCACATCACTTTGAGTAATGTACATCATCAGTTCGATTGGCGGAAGGTCATTCGGGAAAGGGAAACGGTTCTGGCAGAGTTCGAGAAGGGAGATGCCTGTCGACCAGACGTCGGATCGGATGGAGTATTCATTGCCACTTATTCGCTCGGGCTGGAGCGCAAATGAGCGAAGTCAACGGGAAAAGAGCCACTGACTCACGGCCATGTAGAAACTCGTGCCCGTGAAGGTGCCTGCCATCGAGTTCACGAGCTCGCCAGACACGCCGAAGTCGCATAGCTTGACTATGCCTTGCTTAGACAGCAGAATGTTCGAGGGTTTGATGTCGCGGTGGATCGTCTGCTGCGAGTGCAGGTACGCAAGACCTTGTAAGACCTGAGACGGCATCAGCATCGCCGACATGACAATCGATCGAGCGCCTTACACCCTCAGCTAGCCTCCCTGCGACCTTCTCGCCCACGCGTCCGCCTCGTTCCTTGATTCGCTTCCCTACAGACTCCAAACTCCCGCCCTCGCAGAACTCCATAAGCACCTTCACCTCACTGTCGCTCGGGCTTATGTACGCGCCATAGAACTTGACGATATTGATGTGTCTGGTCTTCGTGATCATACCCAGCTCACGCAGAAGCTGTTTCATAGGCGCCTCCCGTGTCGCAATAGTCTTGCGTGCCATGATGAACCCGTTACGCTTGTCCTGCACCTTGTGAACAGCCCCACCAGCTCCTTCTCCCAGGCGTGCAACCTCGACGAGTACGTCGTCAGAGTATGTCGAGGCTGGCGTAAGTTGGCGGTGGGCGTCGTTCTCCGCTGATGTAGGTAACACAGCGGAAGCGGTGATAGTGGCAGCGCTAGCCAGCATAGCTAGGTCTTCCGAGGGATCGCGTGACGGCTCCCCAGATGTCGTCGTGATTGCGATGTCGTCTATCGTCCGACGCAGATCCTCCATTGAATCCAGAGCAGCACGCCTCTGGTTGGGCATCGCGGGTCGAATAGTCGTCTCGTTCGGCCCATCTCCGCTCGCGCTGTCCAAGCTCTCCGGTTCAGGACCACCGTAGTATCCTCCGCCGAATGGGTTGTACCCTGCGGGGGAATCTGAGCGGTCTGATGAAGGATTTGCGTCTGCTAGCGGGATTTTGATCTGGATGCGGCCTCCCTTGGGTGTAGTCGGCCGTGGCGACGGTTTACCTGGGATCTGTAGGCTCAGCGCCGGCATAGGTGAGCGCAATTTCGTCGGTGAAACGCTGCTGGATGGGGACAATGGTGCATTGTTCGAGGTGGGCTTGCGGATGTTCAGCGGAGCGGTTTCTGGCAGAGGTGAAAAGGGAACGGGCGGGGGCGCCGGCGACGTCGAGCGCGGAAGACTTCGAGGACCGATTGGCCGCGGATGAGCACTTGTAGAGTGCATAGTTGATGGTTAGAGACAAAGCAGAGAAAGGGTAACAACAAGATGTAATTTGGGCTGTCGCGCCTGGCAGCTGCGCGGAGCAACCATGCTGCTCTCGCCACTCGCTTCCAACACGCTTGTACAGCATATTATGCCCGCAGACCAGGCAGCATGAGGTGTTAATGCAAATGAGCGCCAGAGTCATCTCCTATCCATAGTGCGTTGCGCTCTACCTAAGCATGCCGCGCATCAACGTTGCAACAACTTGGGGATACAGGATCTCCGAACTCGAGTACTCCGCACTCCACATATGAGTCTCTGGGATAGAGGAGGAAAACTTTCTAGAGATAACTCTTATGCATTAAGCGAGAATCGAACTCGCGGCCAGTCGAGACGACCTGATTGAAGTGGCAACGACTGAGGTTACCACTATCCCATTAATGCTTACTGACCTCGCCGGTTATATAGTATATGATAGCAATGGCCACAACAATCTCTGTACATCCTCTCTGTCCACTTCATTCCATCCCATTGCGCAGGTTGTCAAACTTACTACCCTCATAGACCAACCAATTCTCGCTCCCGTCCAGGCTCCCAAGCACCCTATTCACAGTGCTCACCAAGCTCTGCCCCGGCTGGGGGTCCTTCCCGGGTCCGCCCTCCATTCCTTCCCTTGTCCCTCCTTTATCCCCACTCAGCTCCCAATACATTGCGCCACCGAGCCCCTCCCTCCTTATCCACTCCGCCTTCCATCTGCCAGCCTCCTCGGAGTCGAAGCTCACCATCTCCTTCTTGCTGTAGTCGTAGGACCAACTCGCAAGCGCTCGCTCGTCCCTGAACATGTGCGCGCCTGGTAGGGGCAGAGCACGATAATCGTACACGCCCTGCTCCCAGGTGCCTTGGCCGATGCCGGAGAAGGGGTGACCAGGGCCGTCGGTATTCATAAACGAGCGTCCATAGAGAGGTAAGCCGATCACCATCTTATGGCGAGGGACGCCGTGAGATTCATAGTATTGCACGGCTTCCGACGTGCTAATTGGACCACCGAAGACGTTGGCCTGGTGGTTTGCGATTTGGTCCCATGAGCCGGCTACAGCAACGAGTAAGATAATGTCGTAAATGGAGAACTCATGATAGACTCACAGTAGTCGTAGGCCATGAGGTTCCAGAAGTCCAGGTACTGGTCCATCTCCTTCATGAGCAGCTTCTTGTAATTATCAGGTCCGCAGGGTGATGCGATCTAGCGCTCTCCGTCAGCTTCACGTTCTTTCCCAGCAAAATATCACGAACAGTGAGCAGGAATCGGTAGTTAATTCCCTTCTTCCTCGCATGCTCGTCCAGCGCGTGCCTCATTTCTTTGAGCAATTCAACGTACCCTCTCGCCTGCTCCCCATTGCTAGGGTACTCATAATCCACATCCAGGCCATCTAAACCATAGTCTTCCAGAAGCCGCACGGATGTCTCCGCAAACTTTCGCCTTAGCTCCGGCGATACCACGACAGGATGGAATTTCGGGGAGTACGTCCATCCACCGATAGACAAAAGTAGCTTCAGATGACGGTGGGCTTTCTTCAGTTTGTAGATGGCCTTAAAGTTCCCATACAAATTGTTGCCCTGGTCGTTCCACGAGTCTCCGGGGTAGTGGATTTGTTCATCTGACCAGGGATCGGACAGAGCTACAGCCCCGTCTGCCTTGATATCTGCAAATGCGTACAGGATGTGTCTAAGCGACTAACGTCAGCCTGCAAGACTGTTATTCGGCAAGTAGGAACCTACGTGACGTCTTGAACTGGAATAGCCGTCGGAGGGAACTTTCGTCCGTAGATTCCCCTGCCATATCCATCAGCGCCCTAGCAAATGAGACGATAACGCGACACACCAGTTGGTGAAACTGTTGGAGACATGAGTCGGATATCATAAAACCAGGAACACGGCTCGACTTACTATCCGACACTCTTCATGGAATGCATCTCTGCGTCTGTATCGTTTGACGGTACCTGCGGCTTCTCAATCTGGTTATTCTCTTCGCCCTGCTCTCTCTCGTTCCTGTCCGGGATCTGCTTGATCGTCGACCACTGACCCGCTTTGTACGAGCTTAGCGCAACAATGCACAGGAGCGCTATATACAGAAACAGTTTGCGTGAGGCTATACCCCCGGCCCGAGCAGTGCGTTTGCTCTGAGAAGAAGGGGGAGGGTAACTGGACGCGTCCTCGGTCGGAACGCGTTCGTATGCAGACATGAAGGGGCGTGCAAGAACGGGCTTTATATAGCAACGGCGGACAGCCTCGACGGGCAGGGTGTAGTGACGTCAGGCAAGGATACCATGCTGCATGGTAATCCAGCACAGCTGAGCGGTGTGCGGCGTACAAGATAATTTCGAGAAACGCTAAGACTTAGTAATGCAAGTCAGATTCGACTCCAGTATCCGTATGTCAAGCAGCAATATATGAGATGAAAGTTGAGACTAAGGCTCCGTTTTGAAGCTTTGAACCTTCGGTGGGCATCGGAAACATCCGCCATCAATTCGCTAGACTTGCCCCGAGTCGGACTACGTTCGTTATTTGCTGCGACTGTGACTCTGCTGGTTAGGGCCTTGTTCAGTCCTTGATTATATATGAATTGTGTTTAGTGCCTCTGCTCAATATTAATGAAGTCGAGGACAAGGATCAGATCGTCCGGTATAGTAAGAGAGTATGCTGCGTCTTCTGAATTAGACACTCACAACTTAATACACTTGTTTCCGGGCTTTGTGGCTCGCTTGCATAGAGTCGAACCGCTGTGCAGATGCCGCCATGTACATTGCCAGCCACATGTGCAGAGAGACCGAGAGCGTGGACACGTGACTTTCATAGCTTGTTTCAGGGTGGGAGCCCTTTCTTAACTGCCCCTCGGTCATTGTGTTCGCTATGCCAGCGAAATCCAGCTACAACGACGAGACGGATCAATGGATCCAAGTTCATAACGAGGCAGCTATATTGGGAGTCTAGAGAGCAAGCCCGCAGCGCCAGAGGGTGGTCTGCAGCAAGAGATGCTGCTCTGCCGTAAACAATTCACTTAGGCTTCCAGCGCAATGGCGATGCGAGTCCGATGATAGGGAAACGGTCTAGATTCATATGGCTCAGCGCTGGCTGGCATCAGAAGACCTATTGAATACCTTCAGGAGTCGTTTTGCGCCAGACTTGATACTTACCACACCTTCGATCAATCGTAGCGTGGAAGCATCGGGTGGACAGCCTGGAGCCATCGAAAGGAAGCTTCAGTGCATTCACCATGCAATCCTATTATTAACAGGGAAAGTAAGGGCACCGATTACGGCACTTAACAGACTGCTGTCGACATATCACCAGGGCTTCAGCGTCGCGTAAAGGGGGACTTTGACTACCAGAGTATTCAATGGACAAGCCGATAATGGAGCCACCAGTGATAAAAAAGCAGTTGGAACAATAGCAGGAACGAGGCCGGGAAAGCTGCAGGCAGGCTGTAATGGAGAAGCGGACGAAGAGGGTCAGAAGCGGAAGCTATCACTTCATCACGTCAGCTTCACACTTCCTTTGTTTCCCAAAAATTCTTGTGGTATGGGGGCGAACGAAGGCGATTGGTAGACAAGCTCTGTCCCCGCTTGCCTGTTGGGGTGTCTGAGCTGACGCTGCGTCGCAGTGGGCGCGGTGGTCTGCTTTCGGACAGACAGCTTCACATGTACGGGCTTATCTTGTTGTCCTGGGGCTTGCCTTGAGAGGCCCCTAGTCTTGGGCAGCAGCCGCGGCTCAAATGCCAGAGTAGAGACTGGACGTAGGCTGGTAGCGGTCGACTTCTCACTGATAAGAGGCCGCCGGAGAAAGCGAGCTAGCGAGCGGTCGACAGTCAGATAAACAGCGGTGAATAGTCAGCAGCAACCGCCAGGTGAGACCAGCACGTCATGATAGGGTGCAATATTCGGGCTTCGCTCTTCCATCCGGAATACGGACAATCAGTCGCGCAGCAGGACGAGGGTTGCAGCAAGGAGCTTCAGGTTTGGGTAGAAGAATTTTGGCGGGTGAGAGTCAGGAGGATGTGAGTGTTCGGGCAGGTAGGGGAACCATGTTAAGTTTCCGGGGGTACCTCATGCTCCGCACGTTGTATTACGTTCCAGAGAAATGTGATAGTATAGCCAAGAAAGCGGCGCAGGAGAGAACAGGGCAAGGTAGCCGCTACATTCGGCAGGGCATGAGAGGACGCACCTGCTTGCAGACTCGAGAGACCACTGGTGCGGGCGAGAGTGGATTCTATGGCCTTGTCCTAACGGCAATATCTAAGAACAAGACAGCAGTCTCTCACACCAGCATACAGACAGTGCCATGTCCTGGCATGGTATCTCCGTGGTACAAGGATCACAAGCGGGGTGTTCCGACAGCAACCACATCACGTCGAGAAGACCGAGAAGTTCGGCTGAGCCCAAGACCACACGTAGTTCACTTCACCGGAGCAGTTTAAAACCTAATCAGAGGTCAACAAGGCTTGGCCAGGGAATACGTACTGCTTTGCATGATTTATTATCACTGTTCTGGGATGCCTGTACCCCAGCTGGCTTATACCGATGCCGAGGGAATGGCAAGAGAGGTTTTATGCGGTAGTTCGTGACATACTTTCGCATCCTGACATTCTAGACAACAGATCAATACAGCGGCTTCTATCCCGTAGATTACTTACGTCGGCACCACACGGGGTAGATGCTGTTCTGATTCCGAATATTGGGACGAGGCGTCCCAGCAGGAGGACAATATGTTCCAGTGCCAACTTCTCGAGACTTCAGTAATGCATTAAGATCCAATAACGGGGAGGTTTGATCATGATTTCAGGGCTTTCCGTCCCATAAGCTCGGAATAGTAAACGCCGCACTTATGGCGCCCGAAGAGGAAGCTGAGGACAACAATAAGCTGCTCGGTTTGTTTCAAAGTCAGCGGCCGCTAATCAGGTCCAAGCTCCCATGAGAGCTATATACTTCCTGCAATGGACCCTTTACGAGCGTCTACAGCACTGATACAAAGCCTTCGAGTCAGTGACTCGAAGCTCAGAACCGTAGCATTCGAACGAGTTTGCTCTTGCTTCCGACCATGGCCACCACAGTCGTCTCGTCTCCGGGCAAAGTCCTGCTCGCAGGAGGCTATCTCGTCCTCGACCCTGCTTACTCTGGCGTCGTCGTATCGACTTCAGCTCGCTTCTACACTATAATCCAAGGAGAAGGTGCTAGTGACGCACGTGGCGCATATCGGATCCGGGTGCGGTCTCCCCAGTTTGTGGATGCGACGTGGATCTATACGGTCCAAGTCGACGAGAACGCTGTCCGGATAGAGCAGACATCAAACGAGTGAGACTAACTTCGCCTTATGTCCGACAAGACTATTCATACCAGCTGCAAGACTTGGGTCCTCCTCCTCGAAGAACAAATTCGTACATCTTGCCCTCC